AATTAAGTATCATTTCTGACAAAGACTCTGATTCTAATGAAAATTCAGATGTTTCTAATACATCAAATAATGAATCAGATAGTGAGGAAGATGAATCAACCGAAGAAGAAGATAATAATAATAATAAAAATGCAGATAAACCAATATATAACAAGAACAAGAACAAGAATGACAATAATGTCAAAAAGAACAATAATAATAGCTTTAAAGATCTGATACCAAGCCCATTACTAGACTATTCACCAACTACTGAAAACTTTCGTGATTATTATATGTCACAATTAACAAATGGATTTGGTGAAGACTTGGATAAAATCAGAAAGGTTTGGGAATTAATAATGATATTATTTGAGCTTTTAAAGATTTAAAAAATATTTTCTTTTAATTTAAATTTTGGATATTTAAATAGGAACAAAACCTTGATTCAAATAGATTGGAAGTTTTAATTGATTCATTAGAATCTGGCATAAAAATATTTTCAGATATAGAAAGGGAATTGATTTTATTATCATCTTCTAATAACAATAAATAATAATAACTATATAATTTATTCTTAATTATCCAAATATGCATATACACATGTGTATACAAACTAGAGGTTGGAACCGGTTCCAATAATTCATCTTAATCTGTATGTAACTAAAGTAATAAGAACCATAAACAGCAATTATTGTGAATGAATATATGACAAAAACATTTACAAAGGGCCTTACTAGCTTTGGAGCCCAATTGCACTGAAGTTATGCATTAGATAACTATTGAGTATGCATTTGCTGGTTGGAGCAGGGTTGACCATGATACCAGTCCATTGATGGTCAATTGGATCCAGGCCTCAATGGACACATTCTATTACCAAACCCTGGTTTGGAATGGTTTGCTCTCAGTCCTTGATTATTTTATTTTGTATACACATTCTGAATGACTAAGTTCAATAACACTTCCAAGACATACTATCTGTAAATCAATTTTTTTCTAGCTGCTTTCACCACCCTAGAAGCCTATAAAAGCAAAAAGTCAAGCTAGATTGTAAAAGTCAGTTAGTTTTCCATTGCTACATCATCTTGTCTCCCTTGCAATATTCTGGAAATTAAAGTATTTTCAAATTTTATATGTTAAAATGAAGTGATCAATCTTCCTCATTTTGAAAGAATGTGATTTACTTATATCATCTTGTCTATTAAGCAAATACAAAGCTTTAATCAACATTTCATTTTTAAAATAAATGAATTCATGGCAATACTTCTTTCTAACCTATGACCTATATTTGAATTTGATGGTGTTGGCAATCCTTCATTGTTTGTATTTCAAGTTGCTCTACTACTTTTAAATTGTATGATCTTTTGCAAACTCGGAAATCCTGTTATTATTAATGTAATGCACATGATCCTAATTTGCCATTATCTTTTAGGCATGATGATTTTGTAAAGTGAAAAAAGTTTGATTGGTTTGACACAGAAATTAATTGATGTTTTGATCTAGGGATACATATTCAAATATGAAGAACATAGTTTCTTAAGAAATAAATAGCAGTTTAATTATATGTATTGATTCATTTTTAATAGAGCCTACTGTTCAAGGCTTTCTCTATTGTGTGATCTTTAATTAGGGACATGGCAGATATGACATAATTATTGGTTTGATAGTGAGCTAACACCCCCCTCCCCACACAAATTTGTTATGCATTAAATTTTTGCATTACGTTACACACAATATTATGTGTATTCATGTGAAAATTCGTTATTATAAAAATTTGGTCATGGCGATTTTTGTTTGCTATATCCAGAGTTCAGTATATCTAGGTTCAGTATAGTCAGAGTCAACTGTAGCCTTTCCATAATTCCTCATAAACCATCTACCAGGTACTATGTTGTAGATTTGTTGAGTCAATATGAGAATTTTTCTCTTGTCATTGTTAAATTCTTGAAGCAGTAGAAGCACCCATCATTGAAAGGCTGAAGAATGACAGTGGAAGCCTCACATAAAAGTTGTATTAAAAAACATAAATCAAGAAACATGATTTTCCAATATCTGATGTGCCAGTGATGAGGAATTTTGTTAAACTGCCCTTTGCCGCTTGATTTCTTCTTCAATTGGTTGTAAAGGAACTTGTATGATTTTCTCACAAAAATTGCTTTCTTCTCAATCACTGCAAGCTTTCCATTGTGTTTAATAACAATATCATTTCGTTGGTCTTGGTTTAGTTGCATTTGACGTAATTGGTCCTTCCAGCTCTTTACTACATTACAAATGGCTCTCAAACAATGGGTTTGATAAAGTGATGTGAGTAAAAAGTAATAAATTGAAAAATCATTAGTCATAGTATTCCAAGACTCACTTTACACATTGCAAGAGCTTTACCCAATTTTTGCTTCTTGCTAGGTTTATTTGACTCAGTGAATTGACATTTCTCTGCACAAAAAACAAGTCAGTAACACAAGCGTAATGATAACTATCAAAAATCAAGCCAGGTCATGTGTTACTTGTGTTGACTAATTTTATATGACTCACTTACCAGTATCAATGGTAGTTATATGATAACATGAATGTATTGTTTGGGTGGGTTTGATGATAATGTCATCAATTATTATTTGGGAGAATGTATTAATTGATGATAACAATATTATGTGGATCAGAATGAATTGACTATCACTAATGAATTAGTTTTTATTAGAGAATAATTTTGGTTTAATGATTTAAGAAAATGTTTTATTTAGTTGAAGCTAATTTATTAATTTATTTTATTAACTTCTTACAAAGTTAAGGTTATTTTACAAGTATGCCAAATTTGAGTTTCTTATATACAATTAAATTAACTAATTTTGACATAAATAGTGATGTAAAGAAACAAGTAAAAAATAAAATAAGAAATAAGAAAGATAAGGAATAAATGAATATAGATATAAAGTAAAACAAAGTAAAAATGGAAATACTGTAAAACGATTTAATTCAGAATTAGAGTATTTTGGTCAACAAATCAGCATTAAACCCTAATTGCAGAAGCAAAGGAAGAAAACACAAGATTAAGCAAGTATTGCACATGGAAGACCAAAAAAATCAAGTTGACCAAGTTTTTATACTCACTTACCTCTGTTAATTTGTTTAACCAAATCTGCAATTGTTGGAGCCAGTCCATATGGCAGTTTGAACAGGTCAAATTCATGAGTAGGTTCTTTTCTGTTTAAACTAATATCATTTTCTTCAAAGTTCTAATTCAGCTTTGTTCTTTTATAAAAATTCTTTAACATTATAAAACCCAAGCCTAAAAAGTCAAATGCCGCCAATATTTTACCAGTTCTTCCTCAAATGTCTCAACAACCTCCACCATCAATGCAACCTCCACCACAAATCCTACCACCACCTTTTCCTCATAGGTGGCTTCCAACAATGGATGGAAATATCTATGGAAAATGAATGTTTTTGTGTCACAAATCATTATTTATTTATTCATCTATGATTGTAGTAAAATTTATTTTAAATGTAAATATGAGCATATTTAATAAATAACAAATTTTGGGTATATTATTTATCACTTGGTTTCATATTCACGTTCTGAACCGCTTTTATTTTTTTCAATCTATTTGCATCAAATGTTCATGAATGCCATAATACAGGAACCAAAGCTGACAAAAAATCAAGTAAAAAGACATTACTTT